CAAGGATTGGTCCATTGCAGTAAGCACAGCGTGGTGCAAATAGCTCGTGATAGTCCTTCTCACAGTACGGGGTGTTGTTGTGCTCATAAAACGTTATGTTCCCGAGCTCAGTGTCGCACTGGGAGCAGGTAAAGTGTTCAGGATGCCACACCCTCTTCATCGCGTTAATGACTTTACCAAATATGGGCTTGTCACATGCAGCACATGTTCCCTATATAATTTTTTTAAATGTAATTATAATATGCACCTGTACAGCATTACAATATTCAATACAGGTATCATTGCATGTTTTACTACATTTGCAGTTACATTTAGTGCTTAAAACTTTCCCAGAGCAAAAGTTTCGCGGATTATAAAAAATGATTTTTATTTTGTGGATTTTCAATGTTAGTGCCACACTTTTGATGGTGATTGTATATTTAGCAAACCTTTAACTAAGGCCCCCCCCCCCGTTTACACTAATCCACTTCACTGAATCCGGATTGTTTTTGCTATTATCCGTTTCAGGTGTTTACACTAATCCAGCAGCTGCATTTTCATAAGATTTATCATTCGTTTATAGAAGTATCCACTTTGGTATCCGTTTTCATTTTGCTTCTGATAGGTGAAACAGAAGCTGTATCAGAACCAAAAAGTCTCCGTTTACATGTGAAAATGGATCAGTGTAAACGGGGTCTAAATTTAAGGTTGCATGCTAATCCAAAAGTTTTGCTCCTCAAAAATAAGGCACTATAAAAAGTATTACATTGTTTGTTCCTACCTTAGAAGAAGTATCAATTCCTTGTCTATTCATGTTAGATTGAAGTGACCCAATCATGGAGTCAAGGTTACTGATCTGACTCTTGATACGAGGTTCCTTGTGAGGCCTGGCATAGGGACCCTCTTCCTAAATTAAAATACCTCATCTGTATATACATTGAACATTTATGTATCTCTATATTCTCATTCTCATACTCCATATTCTCATTATAATGCTACCAAAACTCATTCCCATGTCCCATATTCTCATTCACATTCTCCAATAAACTCATACCCACATATGCAAATTTTAATTATAATGCTACCAAGACTCATTCCCATGCCCCATACTCTATATTCTCATTCACATAACTCATTTCATTCCCAAGTCCAACTCATTCCATTCCCATACCTCTATATTCTCATTCCCATATTCCCATTCTTACTTGTGGCGGAGGAGGTGGTTTACTGACTTGGGCTTGAGGAGGCAGTTTAAAGTCTGAAAGGTCGGCCATTAACATGTCTAACTCGTGGGTGGCGGCCGAAGCTGTTGGCCGGGACGACGACTTGGGTGCCTCCCTCTCATGAGAAACCTTTCTCTCGACTTCAGTCAACTCGTCCATGAACTGCGAGACGGTGGGCCTTCCAGTAGAGGCAGGGGCAGTGGGAGGAGCCTCATTAGCACCTGTTGCATATCAAAAGAAAGCAGATTAACACATGTATCTAATTAATGGGTGCTAATTATTTTTAAAATGCTGAGAAATACCGTAGGGTGCCTTTTTTTCGAGGGCTGTAAATTTCACGGATTTCACGATTTTTTTAAGATTCGCAAAAAAATTACTTCCACAAAATCAAATTATTATGGTATAAGATGGCAGACGGCATAAATTCGCAAAAATTAAATCTGTAAAATAGATTTTTAGGCGAATTCACGAAATTGACAGCCCTCGAAAAAAGGTGCCCTATGGTATACTGTAGGATATCGTCTGAGACGATAATAAGCATAACTCATTGACAATAAGTAATAATCATCAACACAGACACACCCACTCAATAATTACTATAATTAGATAATACTCTATGAAAACAAACATCATTATTGGTATCAAATTGAATTAATGTACAACTTCAAAGCTACAAATAAATGTACTATCATTTATTGCAATTATTATTATACCAAAGAAGAGAGAAGACCAAATATTAATTGTTAGGATGCAGCATTCTCTTATTATCACTGTTATCGTACAAGCAACAAACACGATAGAATACATGTAGAAACATTAATCATAATAATACATAATGAATAAAAGCCTCTCTTAGTTAGAAGCCAAGGACTACATGTGCATGTACATACACTAAGGCCCCGTTTACACTAATCCACTTCACTGAATCCGGATTGTTTTTGCTATTATTCGTTTCAGGTGTTTACACTAATCCAGCAGCTGCATTTTCATAAGATTTATCATTCGTTTATAGAAGTATCCACTTCAGTATCCGTTTACATTTTGCTTCTGATAGGTGATGCGTTTTCATGTATCAGTATAAACAGAAGCTGTATCAGAATCAAAAAGTCTCCG